CTTCGTGTTATCCAGCATGAATCTTAGACTCTCTTCAGGTTTTTTAGTCCCTTTTTTCTGTTTGCTCTCCTATCTTAGCAGTATTGAGAGCTTTGTCTTCCAGCTCGCTGGTTCTGGCTTCCATCCCTTCCATTCTGCTCCTTTGCCATTTCAGAATGTTGTCCATTTCTGATATTTTCCTATTAATCATCTGGACTTCTTTTTGCAGGTTTTGTATTGTTTCCAATGTTGTATCTATTTTGTTTGATTGCTCCTGTAGCACTTTTCTTATTTCTTCCTTATTTTCCTCCACCCCTTTTTCGGAGCAGTTGAATTTATTTCTGTATTGCTCTTCTGAATTCCTTCTCCGGCAGATCCAGAGCCTGCCTTTCTACTGGAATTCTGTGTCTGCTTCCAGCTCATTTGTCTCAGTTACTTTTTTCTGGTTTTGGACATGTGTCCTTAAAGTTTGTAGAAATGTAGTCTGAGAAGATGCTCTATAGTGTTTTGATGTGTGTTGATTTATGGAGGTTTGTTTTGTGGCCTAGGGAATGCTCTCTTGTCTCTCAGTCTGCTCACTTCTGTCCAAAATGGCTGTGGCAGGTCACATTGGCTGCTCCAAGTCAGAAGTCATCTTATTTTTTGCTCCTTTTCATATTCGTTCTCCTGAGAAGCACTCAGTTCACTTATTTATACCTCAATTTGAAGCTCAGAGTTCTGGAAAGGTTCTTTGAATATGTTTTGTTCAGTTTTTTATTCAAGGGGGGTATCCTCCACAAATGTTTTGAAGCTCCCTCATATTTGTGTGCCAGAACTAACTCTTGGATCTGGGGGTCCAGAGTGAGCAAGACAATTCTAGGGACCTGACGGAACCAGCAGGGTCAAATTCAAGGTGGTGAGAAGATAATAAAGCAGGGAGACAAAGCAGGAGGGGCTGCTGTGTTGAAGTAGGGGTGTTAACAGAGACCTGAGCACCACGAGCTTTGTGGGTGCTGGATAAAGGACCTTCTTGTTGGAGGGCAGTGGATACAGTAAGAATCTCAAAGGTGTAGGAAGCAGGGGGAGCCAAGTTATGTGGCTAAGGGTGAAGCTCGCAGGCTGGCTTACATGGGTGGTGAGTTTTGTAGGGCATCATCACCTCATGGAGCTCTCTGTCCGGTGGAGGGGGCATGAAGCTGTGGAAGATCTCTGTTTTGCGTGGCGGTGGATTGTATTGAGAAGAGTGATTGAATTTTATGTTTGTCAGTGGATTGATGAGAGGGTGTGAGTAGAAGGACCAGGTTCATCTATGATAAGGAAGTCACTGCTTTCCAAGGTATGTTTATTAGATAAATATAGCTTGCCCAGTTAAACTTGAATTTTAGACAACAAAGATTTTTTTAGTGTAAGAATGTCCCAACCCAGAGTCAGCGGCGTGGCCACTGAGGACTAGAGTGGAGAGTGAAGCTACCAGCTGATAGGAAGAGAGGGCATACGCACAAGAACACCCACACTTGCAGATGGTACCCACGTGACCTGGTCCTGATGAATGGATGATCACAACTCAACCAGGAGAAGAAA